TCCAATGGCGGTCAAATTGTGTCGCCGGGGTTTTGTCTGGGTTGTGGGTTCTTTTTGTGGGTGCGGGGCTCTGGGGCGGTCGCTGCATGGGCGGCGTCTTGTCGCCGGGGGACTGGGGAGTCGGTCTGGGAGCCGGGGTCTGGGAAACATCTTTCCGGCGGTAGAGACATATCCGGCGAGCATTTTTTTTTTTTTTTGTTATCCTGTTTCCATTTTTTTTTTTTTGTTTTTGTTTTTTTCTCTGTATATTTGCTTGGGCTTTGTTTGTAATTGTTTTGGGGGGGATAGGTGTAATTGTCTGCGATTGAAATGAAGGAAAATGCATCTTAGGGATATAGTATGTGCGTTCCAGTATAAATTTGTGGGATATAGTATGTGCATATAGCGGATATTGTATTTGCGTTAAGTATGTTCAAACATATTTGTGTAGATTTAGTATAGTGGTTTTGTAATTTTAATTTTTGAGCATATTAAAAATGAATAATATGGGAGGGGTATGGGCGCAGTAGTGACTATGCGTGTGCATTTCTTGTTAGCCGTAATTTATATCATTGCCCCCATGTTACCATCGTTTACATGCACATTTTGTGCGTTATGCTGTGTGAGCATGTGCTCTTTTTTTTTTTTTTTGTTATTAGTATGTCGCTATATGTTTTTGATTTGTTTTAATTTGGTTAGGTATAATTGTTTGCTTGCAATGTTAACTATCTTTTTTTTTTTTTGCATTTATAAAGTTTATTTTAGGGTGATGCAGTGTGTTGAAACATCCTTTTCATTTAATTATACCATGGGTATTATGTGGTTTTTAGTTCTTTTTGTTTTTTGTAGTCTATGCATAAGTATAAATTGTCGGTGTTTAGTGTGTGCGTTACAGTGTAGAATGCTGTGGTATGTGCATTTTTTATGCTAATTAGTGTGTTGTAAACATCTTTTTCATTCAATTATATCATTTATGCATCTTAGGGATATAGTATGTGCGTTCCAGTATAAATTTGTGGGATATAGTATGTGCATTTAGCGGATATTGTAATTGCGTTAAGTATGTTCAAACATATTTGTGTAGATTTAGTATCGTGGTTTTGTATTTTTAATTTTTGAGCATATTAAAAATGAATAATATGGGAGGGGTATGGGCGCAGTAGTGACTATGCGTGTGCATTTCTTGTTAGCCATAATTTATGTTCATTGCCCCCATGTTACCATCTTTTACATGCACATTTTGTGCATTTTGCTGTCTGAGTATGTGCATTTTTTTTTGTTATTTGTATGTCGCTATATGTTTTTTATATGTTTTAATTTGGTTAGGTATAAGTGTTTGTTTGCAGTGTTAAGTATCTTGATTTTGCATTTATAAAGTTTGCTTTAGAGTGATGCAGTGTGTTGAAACATCTTTTCATTTAATTATACAATGTGTATTATGTGGTTTTTAGTTCTTTTTGTTTTTTAAGTCTGTGCATACGTATACATTGTAGGTGTATAGTGTGTGCGTTACAGTGTAGAATGCGCCGGTATGCACATTTTTTATGCTAATTAGTGTGATGTAAACATCTTTTTCATTTAATTATATCATGGGGAATATATAGTATGTGCACCAGAGATAGTATAGGTGCCTAACGCAGTGGAAAATCCTGTTTTTTTTTTTTTTTTTTTGCCTATTTAAGTCTGTGCAAATGTATGGTATGGTAGGTGAATTTTTGTGCTGATTACAATGTCGAGTATGTTTTCTGTGGGGAGTGTATGTGGTTTGTGATTGGGATGTAGTTAAATGCAGTGTTATCTATTTTTATGATGGTGTTATTTTCGATTTTTGCAGGTCAAGGTGACCCACACACCCCAGTTGGTGTAACCGATCCGGTTACAACTTTACAGCCTGACCCCGCCGTCGAAGAACACCACCCCCCGCCGACCTCGGCACCACATGAAGATAACGAGGTGGCTCAAGCCCCATCTGACCTGGTGCCGGATAGTGTTCCGGACGAGGATGAGATTAAGAATCTGAATTGGTGCAAATTTGTGATCGATTGTTTGGTTGACAGGCATGCAAAGTGGTCTATGGATACAAAACAGTCATTTACTGTGCATTTACATAATATCTATTGCATGGGTTTAGTAGGTGAAATATGCAGTAGTTTTTTATATTATTTGTGCTTTATTTCTGTTTTTTTAAGAGTGTACTTTTAAGTTTGTGTGTTTTAAGTGAAATATAAGGGTATTCTTTGCTTTTTTTTAGCATGCACGAGCCTTTTTTTTTTTTATGATTGTAGGTATATGGTTTGTGCATATATATATATATATATATATATATATATATATATATATATATATATATATATATATATATATATATATATATATATATATATATATATATATATATATATATATATATATATATATATATATATATATATATATATATATTTATTTATTTATTTATTTATATATGTATATTTATATATGTATGTAGTTTGTGCATTAAGGGTTATATTGTTATAACATGCACATGGAGGTTTATTTTGGGACTGTAGGGTATGGTATGTGCCTGTATATATATAGTGTGTGCTTTTTGAGGTATTGGTCTTTGCGTTGCATATTTAGTATGTATATTATGTATTTTGTAGCTGTAACATGCACTAGGGCTTTAATTTTCTGACTGTAGGTTACGGTACGTGCGTATATATATATATATATATATATATAATACTGTGTGCATTAAGGGTTCTATTGGTATACATCATGTGTTGTGCATTTTGTATGCATTTTACTCTATAGTCCGTGCAATACGAGGTATATGCAATAGCATGGGTTTATTAGATGAAATATGCAGTAGATAAGCATTATACAAAAACCAGCATATGTACAGACACGAAGTGTTCATGCACTTAATGGTCCAAACCAAAAAAAAAAAAAAAAAACCACAAAACACGGTCACAGTCTATTTTGTTTATTAGGTAGTACGGCGTACATTTTATCAGCATTCTACGAAAATCAGCATATGCACAGACACGAACTGTTCATGCACTTACTGGTACAAACCAAAAAAAAAAAAACCAAAAACACGGCCACAGTGTAGGTTGTTTGTTAGGTAGTACGGAGTATATTTTATAAGCATTATACAAAAACCAGCATATGCACAGACACGAAGTATGCAAGGACGAAAAAAAAAAAAAAAACACACCGAATATGCACGGACATACACAAAAGTATATATGCACTGACCGGTATAACGCAAAACAAAAACAACACAGACACTGACTACCTTCACTACAACGTAGTACGGTGTACGCACAGGCAGGTGTACCCGTACGCACACGATTTGTGAACGCCTGCTATCGACCACCCCCAAACCCGTTTCACACCTCAACCATTTCGGGAAAAACCATGGTAGCGCACAGACTTAGAGGTGAATATGCACTTACCGTTACTGCCAATATCCATTTGCGGAAAGTCCTAAATTGTTGCTCCTACTATCACCAGCAACGTCATCACACATCTCCCATTGTTAACGCTAATTATGTCCTCTAATCTTTTTATTAATAGAATCTTTTAATTTCCATCCTCAAAAGCAGCAAAAGATGATTCATATTCCATTTAATTTAAGTTCTTAATTAAATCAGCCTTACAATTACTAATTTAACCTTACCATAAATAATAATGGACATTATTTCTTTTAATCTCAACCATAGATGGGAATTCAATCAATGCGTATTATTAGGCCTCATGGGCTCATCTATTAGAGGGGTGCACCAGATCCAAAGCCTATATATATATATATATATATATATGTATGTATATGTATATATATATGTATATATATATATATACATATATATATATATATATATACATATATATATACATATACATACATATATATATATATATATATATATATATATATATATATTATTAGGCCTCATGCACCCCTCTAATAGATGAGCCCATGAGGCCTAATAATATATATATATATATATATATATATATATATATATATATATATATATATATATATATAGAGAGAGAGAGAGAGAGAGAGAGAGAGAGGATTACTTTGTTCCTTCAAATGACCTTATCTTTACACTCCTTTATATTTTAATGGAATAAGGGTCAAATAGGCCACTGAACTGCACACCAAAGTGCAATTAGGCCATCGAATTTAAAAATAATGCAATTGGGTTCCTGAACTACACAAAATCATGCAATTAGGTCCAAAATGACCTGTTTACCTGAAATGCAGGTTACCAATTTTAAAAATAATTCGTAACTATATTTTAAAATAAAATAATTAATTAAAATTATATAATTACAAAAAAAAAAAAAAAAAAAAAAAAAAAAAAAAACTAAAACTGCCGGAGACGAAAGCTTCGTCTCCTGGCCATGGAGACGAGGCTCTTCGTCTCCCTGGCCATGAGCCTCGTCTCCATGGCCAGGAGACGAAGCTTTCGTCTCCAGGCCGGAGACGAAGACTGCCAGAGACATTCGTCTCCGCTAGTTCTAGTTTTTTTTTTTTTTTAATTTAATTATTTTATTTAAAATTATATTTAAAATGTATTTTTAAAATTGATAACGGCCACATCAGCACAATTTCAGGTCAACAGGTCATTTTATACTTACTTGCATGTTTTTGTGTAGTTTAGGGACTCAATTACATTATTTTTTAGTTTGATGACATAATTGCACTTTGATGTGCAGTTCGGTGGCCTATTTGACCATTATTTAATCAGATTTTGTTAATTCGGACAATTCGAGTTAGTTAGCACCACAAAATATTGAAATTTCCGACTACCTGAAAGTGATTTTAAATCAAGTCAAAAGCCTTGTTCCGACCACTTTTGGTATTCGGCACTTTCAGGTTGTCGGAAATTCCATAATTTCCAGTAGTTTAATTCCATCAATATATATAAATTAATTAAAAATAAAATCTTTACAAAACTAATCAAGTATATGCAGGCTAATATATATTATTTTAAAACATAAAACCAAAAACACTCGATCATTCATCATACTCTCCTATGCTGCATAATTTTTCTGTGAAAATTTGAATGTTTGGAACTATCAAAAGTTGGACTTGCAACCGGGCGATACTCAGGCACCAATCTCCCGGACTTATATCTTACTCCACAAGCATTGCACAGAGTGTTTGGTCCCAAAGGTCCCATCCTCCACTGAGGCGTATCTTCGGTTTCACAATGACTGCACTTTCTCTTCTTCCACCCGCAGCCGCCGTTGGGATTGCTATATCTTCGTCTTCTCCCTTCGGCTGTTTTCCTCTTTCCTTTCCGCGACTCCTGTACAGACCTGGAGATGATAGTTTCGTTCTCCAGACTAGAAAATAAGTCTGTTATGGAGATAAAATCGTCGGAAAAGTTGGGGAAGAAATCCAAATCATCCAAGCTGTCTGGCGGTACGCACAACCCGCTGCTATTTTCATCCGCGTCGGAATTCTCTATTGCCATATATGCGAGCTTTGAGTGAACGAGAAATTAAGCGCCAATAATTCAAGGCGTTCCTAGGCAGTTCTGACGCGTTATTTTGATACTTTTCGTGCTTATATAAGGAAGCAGGTCGGTGTTGAAATTGACAGCGTTAAGGAATTGAGATATTGCTTGCTTTATATTAACCGACAATATAGTAACTAATATTCTTCTAGAATCTAATTAATGTTCGACGAAGAATGTTCGTTCATTCGTGTATGTATATGTTGTCATCGCCAACCAGAGACTTACACCTTGGACGAATGCTTTTCTTTCGACGTGGAATAAAGAGATATATTTTATTTTTATTTTTCTCTTTTTTTAAAAAAAAATTCCGATTTTCAACACGAAAATAATAATATAAGAAAATTTTTAATGCTGAGTAGGCATCCTACCACAAGATAGTCATTTAATGAGATATGATGTCTAGTTTCAATATAATTTTGGTTTATAAATAGCTAGTATGTAATTGATTTTAAAATTATTTTATATTTTTATATTTTAATTTTAATATATTAATATTTTCTCTCTCTCTCTCTCTCTTTTTTTTTTTAAATACTATTGACTCTATTACAAATTAGTATATGTTCTCTACATTCTCTCTAAATTCTTTGTTTAACTTAAATTTATTTCCCTCTATTTCTTTTTATGCAAATAAAATTAAAGTATAAGAAATGTGTCATACAAAATTTTGAATGAAATATTTAGAAGAAAGCTATATTGATATTTTTTCAATTTTTTAATTAACCTACAATTTTATTAAAATAATGAATCTGGAAATTTTTTAAACAATGATCCATACTTCCCATTTCATCCTTGTTGTAACTTGTAACACACCCAACAGCTATTTGTATATTTTTAAATAATATAATTTTTACACATTAATTTTATTTGTACAAATCGAAAAAGAGAAAGGTAAATTTAAGTTTAAAATAATTTATGAAGAAAAATATTAATTTATTAAAATTAAAATTATAAATAAGTTTTAAAATCTTTCAACAATTAAATATTGGCACTGGAGAATTGTACCAACAATCTATATATCTATATATTCTATATATATATATAAAAAAGTAAAATCCTCCTAACAAATTTTCCCCCCAAAACTTTTGTAGTAAAACTTATTTGGTAAGTAAATGTCAAATGGAAATTAAATAAATAATAATAGGGAAAATAGCACTTTTTCCCCCTGAGTTATATACTTATAGTCATTTTTCCCCCTCAATTATTTAGGTAGCCCCCTCAATTATTCTAAAAGTGGTAGTTTTTCCCCCTGATATATTAAATTGACATTTCTACCCTTAAAGTAAACATTTTATTTATTTTACTTCTCCAACAAATTATCGCGTATACGTAGGGATGACCATGGTTCAGATCAAACTGAACCGGACACTATAGCAATTGAATTAAAAGTTTCCGATTATGATTCAGATCTAGAACCTAATATTTGAATTTCAATTTATTAAAATTATGAATAAAAAAATTGGATCTTGAACCGTGAATCGGCGATTCTGGATCCGGTTCGCGATTTTGAACCGTCTTTATTTTAAAATTTTATTTTTTATTTTAAATAGTCTAAATTCAACAATAAATGTATTTTATTTTTTCAGTTCGGAACATGAATCGTCTGTTCCGGTTCACGATTTTAATAAACTCTAAATATCGAGTTTCGATTCTAAATTATAATTGGAATATTTTGGTTTGGTTGCTATAGTGTTTGTTTGGTTTAAACCAAATTATTGTCATAATTTGTTGGAGAAGGAAAATAAATGAAATATTTATTTTAAATATTTATTTTAAGGGTAAATATGTCCATTTAACATTTTAGGGGGAAAAACAGCCACTTGAATAATTCAGGGGGAGAAAGTGCTATAAGTATATAACTTAGGGGGAAGAAGTGCCATTTTCCCATAATAATAATAATAATAATAATGTTATTACCTTAAATAAATAAATTATTATACTTTCCCTTAAATAAATAAATTATTATACTTTCCTTTTGAATTAGTGTTTTCTACCTATAAATACAAGAGCTTCTTTAATCAAAGAATCTCAAACTCATCTTTCTGCTTTCTTCTTGTATGAGTTTTCTACATTTTTCTAACTATATTCTCACGTACTTCAATATGTTTTGCAGTTTGGACATCATGAATAACTTCATCAATGATATCTTCTTGAAGCTCGCCCAAGAGGTGACTCGCTTGGCCCACTACAACAATAAGCCGATAATCACTTCTCGCGAGATCCAGGCCGGCATGAGATTGGTTCTTCCTGGCGAATTGGTAAAGCATGTTGTCTCTCTAAAAACACTAAAGCAGTCACCATATTTACAAGCTCTTAGATGAAATAATTTAAATCTATGTTTCCTTTTTATATAATCTCAATTAGGGATTAATAGATGTAAAGTAACTTGGATTTGAGTTTAATTTCATATTATTCTTCCAAAAGGTTTAATTTCATATTATAAGTATTGTTATCTACCTTCAACTATCAGTGAATCGATTAGCATTCTCAAAAAAAAAAAAATTGAATGTCTATATCTACGTGCATTTAAGATGTAACATGTGTATGATTGATTAGGCTTTGAGGCAGGAGAACACATCTGGGTACATTGCATATTAGTGGATCTGTATCTCATTGCAAAAAAATATCCATACAATTAATTAATTAATATAATTACAATTATCATTATTCTAATTCAAAAAAAAAAAACTAAATAATTAATTATAATAATGAAATTTGTTATTAATATTTTGTTACTAATTGACACAGAAATCAGACTAAAAGAAAAACAAAATTAATATTAAAAATGGACTCGAATTAAAAAAAAAAAAGTGCTTAATAAGTAAATAACTAATTTGCTTGGCAGAAAATTAGGGTAAAGGAGAAAGAAAATGATTATTAAACATTGTACCAGATTGTTTTTATGATTGAAAATGAATATTACAAACGTACCTGATTGTTTTTATGACCAGAAATAAGAATGAATTTTACACACGAGAATCTATTATTAATATTCTGTTATACTAATAGGCATGCGAATCATGCCAAATGAAAAAAAAAAAAGATTTAATATTAAAAATTTATTGGAAATATAACACAGTTTTCCCTACGAAAAAATTAGTAACCACCAAATGAAATATTAGGAAAAAATTATGAAGAAAAAAGAAATGAAAACAAATATTAACTCTTTCTATGAATGAAAAAAGGAAATGAATATATCCATATTTCAATTAAAATATAATCAGTAATTATATTATTATAATTATATTAATTATTTATGAAGAAAAAAGGAAATGAATATGAAAGGAAAAAAATAAAATTTAGACACGAAAATCTATTATTAATATTCTGTTATACTAATAGACACAGGAATTACGCCAAATGAAAAAAAAAGATTTAATATTAAAAATTTATTAAAAATATAACACCGCTTTCCCTACGAAAAAATTAGTAACCATCACGTGAAATATTAGAAAAAATTATGAGGGAAAAAGAAATGGAAATGAATATTAACTCTTTCTATGAGTGAAAAAGGAAATGAATATATTCATATTTCACTTAAAATATAATCAGTAATTATATGATTATAATTATTATAATTATATTAATTATTTATGAAGGAAAAATGAAATGAATATATTAATAGTTTACTGGAAATATAATCAGTAATTATATTTTTATAATTATATTACTTTTTAATTATGTGGAAATGAATATTAATTCTTTTTAAGAACGAGAAAGGAAATGAATATTTCACAAAGAAATCTGTTATTAATATCATGTTACTAATGGACATGTAAATCAGGCCAATTAATCGAAAATTATTAGGAAAAATGAATAAAAATCAATATTAATTTTTTTATGAAGGAAAAAAAAAAGAAATAAATATATTCAAAATGAAATGAAATATGAAGAAAAACGAATGAATATGTTTATATTTCACTAAAAATATAACACAGTTTTTGGCACAGAAATCAGACTAAAAGAAAAAAGAAATTAATATTAAAAATGGACTCGAATTAAAAAAAATGTGCTTAATAAGTAAATAACTAATTTGCTACACAGAAAATTAGGGTAAAGGAAAAGTGAAATGATTATTAATCACGTACCAAATTGTTTTTGTGATTGAAAATGAATATTACAAACGTACCAGATTATTTTTATGACCAGAAATAGGAATGAATTTTACACACGAAAATCTATTATTAATATTATGTACTAATAGGCATGGGAATCATGCCAAATGGAAAAAGGATTTAATATTAAAAAGTTATTGGAAATATAACACAATTTTCCCTACAAAAAAAAAAAATTAGTAACCACCAAATGAAATATTAGGAAAAAATTATGAAGGAAAAGAAATGGAAACAAATATTAACTCTTTCGATGAATGAAAAAGGAAATGAATATATCTATATTTCACTTAAAATATAATCAGTAATTATATTATTATAATTATATTAATTATTTGTGAAGGAAAAAGGAAATGAATATGAACAGAAAAAAATGAATTTTACACACTAGAATCTATTATTAATATTTTGTTACTAATAGACACAGGAATCAGGCCAAATGAAAAAAAGATTTAATATTAAAAATTTATTGAAAATATAGCACCGCTTTCCCTATGAAAAAATTAGTAACCACCACATGAAATATTAGGAAAAAATTATGAAGGAAAAAGAAATGGAAATGAATATTAACTCTTTTTATGAGTGAAAAAGGAAATGAATATACCCATATTTCATTTAAAATATAATCAGTAATTATATGATTATAATTATTATACTTATATTAATTATTTATGAAGGAAAAATGAAATGAATATATTAATATTTTATTGAAAATATAATCAGTAATTATATTTTTATAATTATATTATTTTTTAATCAGAAAGGAAATGAATATTTCACACAGAAATCCGTTATTAATATCCTAATCGACATGGAAATCAGGCCAATTAATCGAAAATTATTAGG